GCAAATAAAGGAGACCGGTGGAGTTTCAATGCAAGCTGGCTCGAATTGTGCATTGCCAAACTTAGCCTTGCTTGATACGCGTGCCCAGGTGAAAAGCTGAATGTAAACAAACAGCTCGAGCAGACAAAACACAGCCTTCAAGTTATTTCTATTATTGTTATTGTTATTTTTTTTTATAAAGATATTGCTGCGATGAGTTTGTTGAATGTTTAGTGCTCTCTGTGCTCTTCGTAAGGACCCAGGAAATTAACATGGGAATCAATCAACCATGTGAACAAACAATTTGAGAAGACAATATCGTAAATTATATATCATTGCAGTCTTTCTTCAAGCAAATAAACTGCGATAATTATCATTTGTGCGCGTTTATGATCCCTAACTGATCTTTTGAATCACCTGTAGCTTTGGCATCGCCAGTTCTTCCTCTTCTTCCCCGGACACACCTGAATCCTTCTACCGCAAGACAACAAAGGAAACATTCCTGTTTCTTGCACAGCCCATGACGTGACACCGCACTGGTCATTTTCCCCTCAAAAGGAATAAAGTGCCATCGAAAATAAAATTTTCATGGAACAGATCGCTTTACACACCTGATGAAAAACAGAAAAAATTCTCGCGAAACGGGAGAAGGATTGGACGGCAACTCGGTCCAGTCCCCACACTCTTCAAGTCCAAAATGGCGGGCCAGCTAACTTGATGTAATAACAAGTGCATCATCTCAATGCAAGGCTTTGTTTGGGTTATTTTCTTTATAAAAGCAAAGCAAGCTTTTTGTTATCCAGCTCTCCTAACCGTGGATGGATGGTTTCATTTTTTCAACTCTAAAGGACTCGGGAAATCACAGTTCACCTCGATACTGCTCGCTGAAGCTCGTATATGCCTGTGTAATCTACGTATGTATGGTCATGCTCCTTTGCTGATGGGTATTTAAAACAACTATTCAGGCTATCACAAGGTCAGGCGAAGATTGTATGTTAACGAACCTTTTGATAAGCTAAATTTATCTGGTAAAAATGTAAAAAAATGGGCCTGACAAAATATGGAGACTTTCCATGCTTGGAGTAATAATGCTTAGAAATATGACGTGAAACTGACTATAAATCAAAGAATAATTTAAGCATCTTGTGAAAAGATTGTTATATGAGCATCAGAACATCATCATTTGTGTTCTATGGTGGTTACTAGGTTTTCAAAGAATAAAATCACCTTTGTTTTGCTAAATTATGTGTTTGTTGCGCTAATCAGAGGCCCGTTTTAGATCAATTTTAAGGTAAGAATCGGTGTATTTCTAAACAACAAAACCGATTTGGCTTTGACAATTCATTTTCACTTACCAATTACAGAATAAGGGCTTCTTGTTAACAATTTGGTTTGTTTATGGCCTGAATTAGGCTCAAAATTCCATTTTGCATCGCCTTAAAGGGGCATGAAGTGTTTGTTCCAAAAATTCAATAAACCATAATAAGCCAAATTTTTCTCAACTGATTTTGATAACTGGGTGACTAAAGTAAACAGTGGTATAGGTTTGGAAGTTATGCAAGAAGGCAGGTGAATATAGTGAAATTTTGAAAAATGGCTATTTTGGGTTGTAATTTTAACATCAATTTTGGCCAAACTCTAGCCCCAGGCTTCTCTCTGTGCAATACCTTGAGGACAAAGTTACATGCATGAACTGAAAGCTCTATTATAGTAGAGTTCATGGTCAAATTCATTTGGCAGCACAAGTTACCAGTGGGGTCTTATCACACTTTCAAAATGCCCCCTGGAAGGCTGGATTTTTGGTGCTCAAAGGGCAAAAAATGAGACCCCCCCTGTAACTCCAAAACTAAAACTCAGAGAACTGAGCCAAAGTGGCTTTTGAAATATCTCATTATACCCAACTTCTGTGCCAAGTTTCAGCCAAATCGGTTGACCACAACTTTTGGCCCCTCGAACACTTTCTCAGACAATGACACTTAATTTGAAAGCTTATATATTTTTCTAGTTTCAAACTTTTGCACCACATGGTTATCTGTTTGCACCAACGGTGAAAATGATGTTTGAAGTTTGCAGGTCGCGAGGTTCGACAAGACAAATTTGTTTTCACTGGCTTTCTTGCATGCTACTGGTTTGGCATAAGTTAATTTGGGAGAAGGCGATAACTAAGAAAAGAATGGCAATACTTATGAAAGAAACCAAAATAAAGATGTCATCATTATCATTAACACTAGAATTAGGAAATAACATTTTAGTCTGTTCAACAGTTTTTTTTATTATCAGAGAGAACAAGAACTCAAAACAAAAGATGTGCGGGATTTAATATCAACCTAGACTTTGATGACTGCAGTCATGAACACCCGAAGCTTTCAGTGCCAGGAAACTAAACATGCTTATAAAGACTGTCATTCAAGAAAATGGCTGTTTAATTCTTTTACATGGTTGTTCTTTGGTTGTTTTTTGGTCGGCGAAGACTTCAATAATTTCAGACTGTGCGGCTTGGCTGCATCTCAGGCAAACACGAAACTTTCAGCTACTAAATACATGGCATGAAATTTTGACTTCTAAAAGCCATCGAACCAGCTTTTGCTCTCTGATTCTGAGAATGAAAAAAATAAATAGAGTTGTCAACTTGCTGCCAACTTCAGCAGTATAATTAAGCTTATGTTTCATGGCAATCGACTCAGAAGAGTTTCATTTCAAAACACGAAAATAAAAAATAAATAAATAAATAATGCTCGAATCGGCTTTAAGGCATGAAGACTGAGATACTGAAGAACTGAGAATTAGAACTACAATACACAAGCTTGCAATGATAACTTTTCATGTCTTAGTTTCAGCCAGGTTAGTGAAAAATAACAGTCAAACACTTTGTTTTCGTGAATGAAAATAATTTTACCTGACGCTCTGGCCAAAATTACACACTGAGTTATTAGTAGGTGTCTATAAAAGAAAAATAAATATGTATCAACTTACCTTTTCTGAATCTAATCGACTAATTGTTTCAGTGATCTGTGCCTGGTTATCCATAAAAGCAATTTCAATAACTATGAAATACCGGTAGTCAAAAACACGAGCAGCATGAAGCAGAACAACTGAACCACAAGCTGCACACAGAATGAATCCAAGCGCACGCAGGAGACTTTGATCTGACTGGAAAGTGTGACTGAAAAAGAGACGGGAAATACTCAACCTGGCGCATGCGTAGACGTTTTGCCACGGTGTTGGTCCATGACCTTGTGCGTATGCTTGTGCTTCTGTTGACCCGCTTTTCACAAGTGAAAGCTACGGCAAAGGAGACATAAGCATGAGCATAAGCACAAGAAGAACGAACTTGTGCATTTTTCTTTCGCTTTTGCTTATGTCCACCAAGTTTTCACTTGCTTACACATGTGCTTGTGCTTATTCTTAGGGGGTAATTACATGAGACCGAGATGACCTCAGACCAGTACGAAATTTTTTCAGCTCTTTACATGAGATAGGAACGAATTGCTTGGTTGATTACAAGAAACCGGTACAAACTCAGAGATAGCAAAATTTAACTGCTACTGCTTTCTTCATCTTTTTGTTTACTCATGTTATCATCAGTAGTGCTAATATCATTACTCAGACTCAAAAAAAACGAAGCGAAAAAGAGGAATTCAATACTATGCGAAACAAACACGGCTGGTCCATGTAGTAAACAGTTCAAGACAACACCAAAGAAAAGAAGATGGTGGGTTGCTCCGGGAAGGAGTGACAGGTGGTGGATGAACATGTGGAGTAGCGAAGCTATTGCTGAAAAATGGATAAAAAACTTTAGAATGCCCAGAGAACAATAATATTTGAGGCATTAGCTGATGAGCTAAGTCCACATATTTCCCCTGATCCTTCATCTCCAGGAATGGGACTCTCAGTTGAGAAAAACTGGGAATCACTCTTTACCTTCTGAAGGACACCGGAAGTATTACTCTAACCGCCAATGCTTTCGGAGTCAGTGCTCCAACTGTATCAAAAACAATTAGAAGTGTTTGCAATGCAATAAATACTAATCTAGGACCCAGGTATTTAAAACTACCAAGAGGTAATGAGCTCTATGAAACATTCAACTTGTACAAAACTTTGCCTCCTGGTAGAGAGAAGGTGCCTCTTCTCTTGTTGGCTGATCCAGCATACCCCTTACTACCCCATTGTATGAAAGAATATTAAGTTTTTAATGCACAAGTAATGTTTAACACAATGTTACGAAGTGCTCGCAACCAGATTGAGTGTGCTTATGGGCAATTAAAAGCCAGGTGGCCAATTCTGACAACATCCCTAAATTCCAACCTTGATGATATCCCAGTAATAGTCTATACTTGCTTTGTATTGCATAATTACTGTGAGATGAACAAAGTAGGAATAGACAAGGTATCAGTAGCATCTCCTCAGCAAAGCAATGCAGATGAGAGACAAGGGTCTCTTGACAGGAGATATAGTGTTACCACTGCTCAAGGTTTTAAGACCAGGGAGGTTATAACTGATTACTTTAAAGAGTATATGGTTACAGTTTAAATCATAAAATCAGACATTTTTATCCAAGTGGCTGAACAAGGGCTAGAGACATTTTTTTGTATGAATAAGTATTTTCTATTTCTTGTTAAATTAAAATTTTCTTTGTATAAGTAATAGTTGATTTGGTCTGACCTAATTGTTTAAAACTTCATGATAGTTTTAAACTCTTCAAGTGTGAATTATGGAAAGTGTACAAAGTGACTCTTTTCATTCAGTTCACATTGAATTAATATAGATTTTTAACAACAATATGTATTTTTGTATCTACTCTCCTTTGAACATGTCTGAGGGGTGTCTACACAGTTAGACATTGTTTATTGACATGGCTAAATAGTAACAGCATGTAGTTATAGGGTAGTACACGAAACCACTAAAAGCTTAACATGAAGAGCAATATTATTTAGTTACCTTATTGTATTGAGTTCAGACATGGTTCAGAAACATATGTAACTGGTTTATTCAACACAACAACACTAACAATGTTCTATTTTTGCCCCTTTGGCATTTGTGTTACTTTTCATAATACATACAGATTATTAAAATCATTACGTTATATTGTTAACAGTCCAACTTTGGTTATTCTTTGATAAAAATCACATTGAAATATTAACCTGTGATAAAAAACAACGCGAAAAAGACTGTCAAACTTCAGACAGTTTTACCAAAAGAGACCATACAGCAATTCTGAGTATGCTTTTATTTAACAACACAATTCAAACAAAATAATGGTACCTTCTGAACCATCCAGTGATAAAGAATGTCAGTCACTCGTGTCTCTCTTTCTATCATGCAAGAACTTTAACCAAAATAAACGGTAGCCATAAGTGTTCATATCAATACTTTAGTCCTACATCATCCCAGTCACATCCACTTTGGGTACAAACTTGGGTCATGGTCTTCTACACTACTCTCCTCCCAGCTGGCACTACTACTTGCACTTGGAGAAGCAGAAGCTACAGTGTTGAAAGGACTTTGTCTCCCAGAAAACGGCTGAAGTACACTGTATTGGCTTGGATTGTTGTGATAAGCACCTCCAAAAGGATGTACATGATCCTGCTGAGGGTGTCTTGGAGCATTGAACTGATAATTACTACCTTGAAGAGAATTCAGCTGCTGAAACCCTGTCAGGATAGCCTGGCTTAAAATCTGCATCGAATCTGCTATTTTACTGAGAGCCTGATCAGCAGAAGAAGTGTTGGACGTGTCTTGAGCCAGAATTTTCTTTTTAAGTTCCATATCCCCCCTCATTGTTTCTAACATCATACACTCTTTTTGCCTTGTGCTTAACTTCTTTTCCAGCTTCTTTCTCTTGTCATCTACATATCTTGCTGTTGCACATTTTTGTTTTTTGCGTTCTGGTGGCCCTGCTTCTTCATCATCTTTAGTTTCTGTGGACAAGTCTTCACTTTCCTTGGTGTCCACTTTGCCACTTGGCTTTCCTGACTCTGATGATGTCTCTGCCATGGTATTTATTCCACATTCTAGTGGCTCTGCACCTGGGGTTCCTCCCCAAATTGCGACTAAGGTGTCCCAGTGTTCCTTGATAATTCTTCCACTCCCAGACCTTGTGGACTCTGCAACACATTTTTGAAAGCCCGATCGTAGTTTCTTTACCTTGGCTTTAATCCTGTCGTACCCTAATTTGATTGCCCTTTCTTGTTCATCGACCTTTTCCTTGAATTCTCTGTACTCGTCTCTACTCATTTCGTCTATTTCTACCGACGGCTGCATGATTTCCTTTGGGCCAAAATCAGACTCTTCAAATTTTTCGGCCATCATTGTACGTACGTCTGCATATAGCTTTACCAGATCGCCTTCGAAGTCCAAGCCTTTCCCCGCCATGTTCGACTTTGTGTCTCTTAACACTTCCAACAACTCTTCCACCATCTCGTCGGTAAATAACCACCTTTCTTTCCTTTTCTCCTTCCCAGCAGTTGCGTTCGTCTCCTTATCCGCCATCTTTGAAGTTTATGCGGATGTGTATTGAGTATATCGCTGACCCAAAAGACTGCAGAATTTGAAATTGCAGGCTCAGATCTGAGGCTGGTTCACGTTTACATGAGAACGGTACGGACTCAGACCGGTACGAAAAACACTCGTGTCGGGTCAGCGACCGACAAGAACTCAGACCGATCTGCGTTTAATTTCTGACCGATCTCATGTAAACACCTAAAAAGAAATGTATGAAAACCGATACGAACTCATGCCGGTCTGGGTTCGTTCCGATCTCATGCGCTAGTGAAAACCTTTTTTACGCAATGAAAATGGCGATAGATCGTGCTATTATCTTTCTCTGTTGTTTGCTTGTAATTTCCTTTACTTCTTCAGCGAAGGGGAAAAAGAAACAAAGGGGTGAATTTATTCATCCTTTTAGTGATGAAGCATACGAAACTATGCTTTCGCTGGTGCAGGGAACGTTTAATGTCCCTGTGGCGGAAAGGACAAGGGAGCAGAAAAACGTCGTCGTTCGATTTTGGCGCAACAGGAGTCGATATCATCTTGGCCCTCAGACTACACCGACCTTGTATTTTGACGGCAGGAAAGTCTTGAAAATATCATCGATATCAAATGTTGTAGGAAAGACGTTCAAAGAGGCAAAGTCTGCGGGGTGTAAGAAGATTCGTAATCGCGCGGCAGCGGGATTTGCTGGATTGAGCGAAAGGCGAATACTAAGTGTAACAAACAGTGAGTTGAAATATAGAATTCACAATGCCAAGTTCACGAACAAAGCTGTACCAAGACCCGTAACTGCTAAACATGTACAGTCTCAGCATCAAGTTGATCTAATGGCCCTTATTAACGACGCTGTTAAACATAATGGGAAAGTGTACAAGTATGTCTTGAGCGTTATGGATATTTTCAGCAGATTTGTCTGGCTACGCCCATTAGAAAAAAAGACAAGTAGCCGTGTGGCTATGCTTCTTTCATCCATATACTCCGAACATGGCCCACCGGATCGTCTGCAAAGCGATCGTGGTCCAGAGTTCTTGGGAAAGCTAAAATCGTTATGTAAAAAGTGGAAGATCAAAATGATCAAATCTCGACCGTACCACCCTCAATCCCAGGGGAAAGTCGAGAGGTCGCATAGACGGTTAAGGGAAAAAATAAAATACGACCTTATCGCTTTAGGTAAGAAGGGAGTAAACTGGGCAAAGAATTTGCCAGATTATAACCGTGTTCTCAATGAAGAAAGTAAGGAGGAACTGGGCTGGAAAACCCCCTTTCAAATATATTATGGTCGGAGATCGAATGTTTTAGTTAAAGCACCTTTAAATTCGGAACAATCAGATGACGGACATGTTGTTAGCAGCTTTCCTACACAAAATGATTTAAATCACCATTCCAGAAGCATCAAGAGACTTCGAAAAAGGGCAAGTGTTTACAGCAAGAGGTTGAACTATCGCATGATGAAACGGCACAAAAAGCTGCACAAAGCTGTCAGTTATAAACCAAAAGAGAGAGTTTTGGTTCGTTATCGTGCGGGAAAGGGGGCCAGTAGCATTGGATCGAGAAAACGGTACGTTATCCAGGGCACTGTGATTAAAAAAAGCACCAAGAGTGACATGTATAAAATAAGATTCATTACACCGGATTCTTCAAAAAAAACGGACCAATGGTTCTCCGTAGAAAATCTGACTGCGTTGAGCACACAAAGCCAGGTTAGCAAGAGGACACGACAAAGTAAACGGGATAACCAAAGAAAACTGCAAGAGCATAGAAAGAAATTTGCTATACTATTGCAGCCATGTGATAAATTCATCGACAGGGACTTTGGCGATGTAGGCTTGTCTTTATTGTATAACCCTCCAGGCAACGGTAATTGCCAATTTGAGGCTCTATGTTTCTGGTTGAGTCACCTTGGCATTTTTCGTTCAGCAGAAACTATTCGTGAGGAAGTGGTACAGTATCTTGAGGATCATCCAAATAATGCGGAAGGCATACCCTTAGAACTTTTCGCTGCTATGCCGTGGTCGCAGTACCTGCGAGAAATGTTAACCGATGGTACTTATGGAGACCAATTGACATTACAAGCTGCAGCTGATTTGTACAATATTCAGATCGTCGTGTTCTCAACACTGGGTGCAAATGCAACTGCTGTAATTTCCCCCTCATTTAGCAATCCGATCGCAACGATACACCTCGGACACTATGCAGAACAACATGGCGAGCATTATATATGCGTTAACAGCGATAGGCTGCCTGAAAGCGTTATTGAACTTGAAAGGAGTGATGCTTGTGAAAACGAACCCTCACGAGATATTGGGTTGGACTGTTCATGTGAAAAGAGCGCGGGAACTGAAAAGGATCCAGGAGTTAATTCCAACGTTCAACTGAATTTAAAGTTTAGTGAAGTAAGTGAAAACGAACCGAGTATCATCTTTGTAGCGGACGAGGATGTCATGACCTGTAATAGCGTCTCGCACTTAGACAGGCTACCCAACGAAATTCTTGAGAAGATTTTATTTATGGTCCTATCGTCTTCAGGCTTCAGGTGGCCCAACCATATTTGTCAGGTATTTCGGCAACTTTTTAATGTTAACACTCGCTTTAGATCCATTTGCAAAAGATTTATCCTGAGGCTTCCGCGAATTCATTTTCCATCGGGAGGTGACAGCGGGATTGTAAGTGTGAGAAAGATTATTAAGCATTACGGATCCTTCAGTGGTCTTGCGATCGAAATCCGGCGTGTAATATCTCATCCTAAATGGGCAAATGCTTGGTTGAAATTGCGCTACTGCGGCAATGCATGGTTTATTATACTTTCCATCTTGTGGAAAAAAAAAAAGTAATCCTGCACAGTAATTTTCAAGGAGTTACAATAACTCCTCTAGCGGGATTAATTTAACTCCTTACGGTAGAGTTATTTTTGGGGGTGTTATTTTAACTCCATAAAGGAGTTTAAAGAACTCTTTTTCAGGACTAAAAATGACCCCAGATATTGAGGAGTTTAACCCCAAAAAAGGAGCTATCCTGTACATTAAATGTTCACTCCACTTTCAGAGTTAAAGTAGCTCCAAAAAGAGTAAAAACAACCCATGTAAGGAGTAAAAATAACCCCATTTTCGGAGTTATTTGAACTCCAGACTGGGAGTAAAAAGAACTCTTTTTCAGGAGTAAAAATAACCCCAAATTTGGAGTTAAATTAGGTGAAGTAACCCCAAAAAAGGGGTTATCCTGTACCAAAAATTTTTACTCCATTTTTGGAGTTCTAATAACTCCTTAAAAATTACTGTGTGAACACGCTCGGAAGAAGTTGCACGCGGACGGAGAATATTTTTACTATCCCCACGGTATTTGTTTTAGTAGGCTCCATAGCAAAAAAAAATGTTTTAAGATGGAATGAGTACTCCTTTTGTCCTTAAATGGGACCAAATCAAGAGAGAATAATGGACCAAATAGTCAGCCGGCTCCGCGTATGATCCCAAGTGAGTTTTACAAAAACAGCCGGGTATAAGGTATCGGCCAGCTACTAACTGGATTTTGTGTTTGTGTTTCTGTTGTGGTTTGAAGGTTTGCCAATCATGACGTTTCTGTTTATTTGTAGTAAACCGTTTTGAATTTAACCGGCCTCGTCTGATTAAGTTGGCAAAAGTATGGAAGCCACTATTACTTCCTTTAAGACTGCGCGTTAGACAAGGACAGTGTTGTGATCTAAAAAAGAAAACTGATGTAAGAATGGATGTTCAGATTTTTGGAAATTAAATGCCTTTTAATAATAGCCTAGTTGTCTATGTCAAGTGTGTCTAGATTCTTTACTCTGACAAAATGCTCCCCGTCTTGTTTTATACACTGGACGAAAAAAAGGATTTGCTTAAGTTTGCTAGTTGAGCAAATCTATTGTAAATTAAGGCATTTTGGGTACTAATGTTGCTACTTATTTGTTCTTGGTAGGCAAATTTTGTTCAAAAGTGAAAGTTTACTTTTCTGCAAGGGTGTCGTAAATGTGGAGTAAATATCAAGTTTACACAGATTTTGTTTCACTTTTGCTCCCAATAGTGAATTTGGTGTTTAAATTCAAATTTGCCGCCATTTTGTTCTCTGTGTAAAAATCAAACGGCTAAAAATGAATGTTCCTTGCGCAGCTTGATATTTTCTGGCATAGCAAAGTTACTGTGTAAATGTATGGTTACTAGAGCCGTAAATTTAAGCAAAATATGATCAAAGAACTATCTTTACGACCACTTTAACTAACGTTTACACATTCACCAAACTTGTTATTTCACGCAAGTTTTGATTTTCCATTGCCCCGTTTGAGGGGGACATTGGGATTTTCGCTTGCGGTTTTGGCTATTTTTTAGATCGGTTTTTCGGTTTTTGTTGCAAAAGACTTCGGTTTTTCGGTTTTGGTGGTCATTGCGGTTTGCGGATTTTTCGTTTTTTAGCATCTGGTTTTCGGTTTTCGTGAAAAACACTAGCGGTTTTTCGGTTTTGGTACCCAATGTGGTTTTTGGTTTTTCCTATTTTGTCCTATTTTGGGTTCCGGTTTCTGTTCGATTTGAGGAGCACTTGATCTCGAATAGCCGCGAAACGCCAAAGTTATTTAGAGGAATGCGTACCTCCCGCGCCAGCAATTGTGGATTGTGTTGCGTTTTTTTACGAGGAGGGAAAAGGCGGCGAGAATTTTTGAAAGAAAAACAAGTCAAGATGTAAAGTGAAAAGGGAAGAGACAAACCTGCAGAAGCTTAAGAATAGTGTTTCGTAAGTCAATCGACAATCATTATTGTTATATTCCTAGACTTTCACTCAACTAAACAGGGACTGCCATTGGTTGATTCTTGGTCACGTGGCCTTGACTAAAATCAAATGTATCCCGATCGTGATACATTAAACAATGTATCCCGCTCGGGATACATTGCAGCACGTGATCAAAGCATGGTGGAAAGTGGTGTGACAGAAGGCGGGAAAAACACCGCCAGGTCCTGCCAGTTTTCTTTTTCGTGAATGAACACAACAACACAAAAACGAAACC